GCGCGGGCGCGGCCCGGGGTGACGCTGCGGCCCTTCGCGCCCTTCTCCGGGGCGGCTGAGGCCGACGAGGGCGGCGGCGACTGGAGCTTCATCGACTGCGAGATGGAGGAGGTGGACCTGCAAGACCTGCCCAGCGCCACCATCGCCTGCCACCTGGACTCGCGCGTGTTCGTGGACGGCCTGTGCCGGGTGAGGACGGGGCCGGGCCGTCGGGGCGGAGGGCGGACACTTGTTGCCAGCAGGAGGCGGCGCGAGCCACTGCGCGGAGCTTCGACCCTGGGACGCGGCGGCCGTAGGACGCAGCGCCACCCCGGGCCGCGGTCCCCGCCGCTCTGGGCGGGAGCGGGTGGAAGCTGCGCCCGCGGGCCTCGGGGGTCCGAGAGCAGCTGCCCGGCGCGCGCCTCCCCTTCGCCCGGGGCTCGTCGCTGCTGCCCGGCGGCGCCGCTGCGCCCAGGTTACTGGGGCAGAGACGGCGAAGTGCTAGCGCATCGGGTGGTGAATTCGCACCCACAGTGGCTGGGGAACCCCTGGTGTACCTCGGGGACTTTGGCCACAGCCCTTTTACTCCTTACACAGGGGAGGGGGTCTCCTCATTCGTAGGGAGGAGGAAACAGACGTTGAGTGGCGACGTGACTCACTGTTCGCAAATAGGGCGACGTCTCTGCATTCCCAATCTGCACTGTTGGAAGAAAAGCCAGTGTTTGGGTGAGGATCTCTGGTTGCTCATTATCCTGCAGTTGGTTGGCCAGTTTGGGTCGAATGGTGTTCGGGAAGGGGGGCTGTTTTCTAAGCCTTTAGGATATTTAGCCAGGAATCTTGTGCTCTTGAAGGAGTGACATGCCACCACTAGGGACACTCAGTACATTAGTTGAGCCCCACTCCCCCAAATCCACACAATTTAGACATTCTGGAGGGCGAAGGGCAGTGTGAGTAATCAGTGATTGGCGGGGAGGAGGAATTTATTTCAAATCTCCAATTATTGTGCAGAATAAAATTTGGACACTGTAGGCGTTGCAGAATGAAACCAGCTTTTGAAAGCTGCCCGATGAAGAGAGCAGCTGTCAACGAAGCAGAGCTTTCAGCGCTTGGCTCCGGGTCCGCATGTACCGTGAATGAACTGTATTTGGAGGCAGCTGGCAGGAGGAACACCGCGGTGGAACAGGGAATGATGTGCTTAAGACCCATTTATTTATAATTTATATGCCCATTTACTTTCAGAAAGGATTCACAGTGGCACATAGGCTTCTGGGCATGCTTTCTAGAGCAACAATTGTCTCCCACTGTGGGTCTCCCTCATCTTACTCTAAAACCTTTTCCTATCTCCGTGAGCCAGCCAGCATTTCGGGCCTCTTTCTTTCGGGGTCCTACGCTGTCTTTTCCTGGAGCGAGATCAAGTCACGTAAGACTGCGCTGACTTGCTTGGATGCCTGGCCCTTCTAGTTGTGTATTCCTCCCAAGGCTGGGGACCATTCTGTTATTCGTTTTATAAAATCTTCTCCACTTTGTTAGCTCTTCATTTTAACATTCATTAGACCGTGCGGTGCGCCACGTACTACTCTAAGATCTGAGGCTATCGCAGTAAACAGAATCGCATTTTTACCTTCAGGGCTGACATTTTTGTAGGGGGCACAAACAGTAAGCAAATCAGTAGATGAGGAGGCAGTAGGGAAAAGTGAGACGCGGGGAGTCAAGATCCTGGAAGGGAGGGAGAGTTGCTGTGTTACCTCAGTTGATCAGGAAGGACCTCACAGATGAGGCCATCCTTTGTGTGGACACGGGGCCAGCTTCTGTTCATTCATTTGTTCACTCTACTGTTGATGAGATGCCATGTTCCAGAGAGCTTTAAGCCCAAAGGATAATGTAGTGAAGAAGCCAAGCTCCTGCTTTCGTGGAACTTGGGTTCCAGTGGTTGAGGAGGAAGTGGAGAATGGAAAAGAAGTAAGTGAACAAGATACTTTGAGATGTAGTTGTTTCTCCGAATGAGTGATTATTGGTTCTAGGAAAGTCCTCAGATACTAAAATCCATGGACAAGTCTTGTATAAAGTGTCATGGTATTTGCGTTTAACCCAAGCACTAAATCATTTGTAAGTTACTTGTAATACCTAGGGCGGTGGTGTAAATGCTGTGTAAATAGTTATTATACTGTATTTTTGGAATAAAAAGGACACAGGCTGTACGTGTTCAATGTTGATGCATTTTAAACAATATTTTTGATTCAGGGTTGGTCGTATCTGCAGATGTGGAACCCAAGGAAACAGGTCTGACAATAGTGCTAAGTTCAGTGGAGGATATAAGGCAGGAAAGTGTGATAGACGGTAACAAGGTGGGGTGCCAGGTCATAGCAGTCAGTGTGTCCTAACGGTAGCACACACTGTAGGGGCTAAAAGGTTTTACTGAAGAACTGGTTAACTTGGCCAGGCCCAAGGGAATCTACCAGGTACATCCAGAAGTTGGCGCTAGGGAGGAAGCAGTGTGGCTGGAGTCCCAGTAGGGGGAGCCACTAGGCAGGAGCCCTCGATCTGAAAGCCTGGAATTGAGATGCGGAAACCCAGAGCAGGCAGGGAAGAAGTACCTAGCCCTATGTTCTGTTGGCAGAACTGAGCAGGCAGCCTGGAGGCGAGGGAGCCAAACGATAGAGTCTCTAGGTGGGGTTATCCTAGGGCCCAGAGGGGAGCAGGGAATGGCTCTGGGGACAAGGTGAGACACACACAGAGGAGATGTTTGTGTGGCTGGCTTCCAGGGAGAGAGAACAGCAAGTGCTGAACCTGATGCAGAGGTGAATTCGGGGTCAAGGGCATGAAGGAGAACTTTGAGTGTTGAATGAGAGGTGTGGGGAGGTGGCTCAGGTTGGAGGACATCAGGGAGAGTCCATGGAGAGTCTTGCGGTTCATGGTAGGACTCAGATGTTATTCTAACTGCACAGATGGGGAGAGTTGGATTATGGGGAGGGAAGGTGGACAGGCAGGAGATAAGCAGGGCAGGCTAGGAGGATGTAGCCATTATTGGGGGGATCTGAAAGTAATTGCTGTGCTGAGGATTTGATGGAGATAGAGATGCAGAAAGGGCCAGGTCCTCTACTCCAGCTCCCCCTTTCTGTTTGGAACCTTGGGAGCTTCAGAATGGGAGTGCAGAACTTTGGGCCCTGGTTGCCCATTCAGAGGGTCCCGTACGAGTTAAAACAATTGGAGAAAATGTAAAACCTGGGTCCAGGTCCATCTCCTAAGGTAAGGCAGCCCTAGAGCTCAAGTTGGGGAAGGTCATGGATGAGGCTTCCACAAATGGCTTGCTTTTCCTGTAGCCAAAACCCTCCTTCTGAAGTCATGACTTTGACCATGACCTCTTAGTACTTTAAAAGCCACTCTTCCTTTGGCTGGTGTAATGGAAAGGTGAGTCTCCTGTAGGTAGGTGGTGTCTGCCTTTGAGTAGACAGGTCACTAACTGGAAAGCTGGCAAAGGACCCTGTGGGCTTGCAGCCTCTGTCCTAAGCCAGCCTGTTGAAGAACCACACTAGGGAGTGATGGCGTGCAGAAAGAGCCTCGCAAACTTATTTTCATATAGATTCACGAAAAGGGAAAGAAGGAAATCGACCTGAACTAACTTATTGAAGAATCTACGTCAGAAACTGTTTTGTAACTGTAACTAGTGGTGTTTTTGTAGCTGGTTCATCATCCGTCATGCAATTTATAATGAGTATGTTAATTAAATGTTTAAAACTATCATCATTACTTTAAAATATTAGAGGTTCTTACCCTTGCAAAATGAATGAAACTTTTATTAAAATGAGATTTTTCTGTTTGTACAAATATTTCCGTAGCATATTTCATTATACTAGCTACTCTTTTTGTGAATCACTTTTCTTAGAAAAGCAAAAGCAGTGTTTTAAACCAATAATTACATGTGCTTTGGTTTGCTGGCAGCTGTAGTTGGTTCCCTAGAACAGGAGTTTACTCAGTAATCACCAAGCTAACCAGGAATTTGAGAGTTCTCAAATAGTATTGTGAGTTTCCAAGCAGTAAATAGAATTCCATATAGCAATGGAAACGTTCACCCTTTAGTTGGTTACCTGAAACATGATAAAGTATTGCCTGAAGGCTAAGCCAGAAAAATCTTACAGTCTTTTCTGCTGAACACACCTTTCTTTTAAAACAAAAAAAATGCCCGCTTAAAATTTGTGATAGCTCTCTCCATAGTTTCCTTGCAATAGCAAAGTATTCTGACTGGCATAAAAGGAGTTTAAATGATGTCCTTAAATTTTTAGCATCAGTGGAGACCCCTGAGCAGATTGGTTTCTGCACACTAGAGTCTGTAGGAAGCTTTGTGACATTCCCCTGTGCAGGCCGCTGCAGACGGACTCCAGTCTCAGGCAGGAGGTGCAAATTTTGGGGAAAGCCCCACACGTAATTCTAACCATTAGTTAAGGCTGAGAACCAAAGGGCTTTGGCCTGACTCCAGGCATGATAGTATCTTGAAAAGATAATTAATTGAGAACTGGTTCCACTGCTAGCCAGATAACTTGGTCTGTCTGGGCCTTGATTTCTTTGAATCCATAATGAGAGTGAGGCTTCCTCTTCTTGGAGTGTTTGACCTTGAAGCCCAAAAGCAGGATTATTAGCAGGGACCAAGAGGACCTGAGGACCCCATAGATGGCCCTAGACAATTAGCAACGTGCCCC